CACACACACAGTAAACATTACATACCTACATATACACAAGCTACAGAGTACAGGATAGAGTGTAGCGTTTTTTTGGGCAGTGAAGTTTTGATTTTGCAGAAAGAGAACATTTGATCTGGAGGGTTTAGACCGGGAGGGGTTAGTCAATGTTCCGATTAAGGAAATCCTTTATCGCTGTTGCACAGTACGCTCAAACTTGTCTAGTTGTTTTCTTTTTTTTCTGATTAACTTCGTATTTAAGGTCAGTGTGTTTGTTCTGTTGTTCTCATTGTATATCTATGATGTGAGAGTAAGGGAGGTTAAAGCTGACGTGCCTTTGGAGCAGAGGTTCAGCTACTATATAAGCGACTGACAAAATGTGAGTACTGGGCTAACTTTCCTATTTTGATGACGTTGATATTATTTTTCTTCAATAGGAGCAAGGTTAACCTGTTTTTGTAGATTTTTTTCGTCGTTGGAGTTTTTAAACAGCTGTTTCCTTCTGCCCTCTGTGACTGAAATGAATTTGGGAAGCAGCCAGTGAAGAGAAGCAGACCAAAGTTTTGTATTTTAGTTTTCTTATTTCAGTTTTAGAAAAAGAAGTCTTTTCTTTGTATACACCACGAGATAATGATCAGGACTTCAGAGAGGGCCGTTTTTTTAAGTCATAGGTTTGGTCACCTATCTTTGTCCATGGACTGAATGAACGGAAGATCACCAACAACATTGTTCAAAAATCCCAATTGCAGCTGAACAGAACTACTGGCCATTAACATTGTATCAATATATATTGATCTTAGCAGTCTGTTTGATTTTTCACAATAAAAGTTACAAAAATTACTGTTTTCTTCATGTGTATCTTTACTGACTAAACCTGTTTGCTTATGATCCCAGGGTGGCTACTAGTCATATTAAAATGTCTCAATTACGGGTTCCACTGTTATTTCTACTATCAATTAATCTGTCGATAATTTTCAGTTCAAAGCCTGATGTTTTCAACAACATCATCCCAGTGAGTGTGACGCACATATTTTTAAATTTGAGGGAATGCCATTCACTTTGACTCATAGATGAACTGAACATTTTGGTCACATGGCATTGTGTTGTTTTGAACTCAATACATCAGGAATGCCCTAAGGGAATTTCATCACATCTGGCACAAACATGCACATAGGACTGAAGGATGACTTGAAAAGAATGTGTTGGCAAAAGGTCAAGGTCACTGTGACCCCACAAAGCAAAAATATTCTTGTGAATGCATTATCTCTGAAACTACTTGAGGGAATTATTTCACATTTGGCACAAACATTCACTTGAGCTTGGATTTCATCTTGGTAATCAAAGGTCAAGGTCACAGTGGCCTCACAATGTTAAATATGTTTTTCTTGACCATGATATCTTAAGATCAGCTTGAGGGAATGTATTCAGAAGAACATGTTTCTGTGTTTCAGTTGTCAAAGGTAAAGGTTTTAGTGACCTTTTATATGGGGGAAAAAAAAAAGTATGTAGAAACATGTACACAGAACTGCAACTTGAGTCTGATTTGTGTCGATTGCTTAACAGACTTCTCACATAGCTGATATGCAATGTATGACAAATAATACCAGCTAAATAAATTATTAAAATATGTATATCAGCCATAAATGTGAACACTAGTAAAGCAAATTAGGTTTCATTTAGGAAAAACACTGACTATAAAATCTTCATTGCAGATAAACCAGGTACGATGAACACAATGTTGTGTAACTTCACTCTGCATCCTAGATTGAATACAAAAATCTGTGCACACAAACAATAAAAAGTGACAGCATATTGTAGAACTGTCTGAGGAGGGCTCACTAATGACAAGGAATAATTCTGAAGGAGCTCCGGAGCATTAACACAGCCCAAGAAAACAGCCTATTCCACACAGACACGTTTAGAGTGAGGCGGGTTTTATGAAAAACACTCAGCATAAAATCTTTTGTGAACATACACCAGGTAGGATGAGCGCAGAGTTTTCTCACTTCACTCTGCACCAGCCCACACCATCAGTGCAGTTTGATTAAAGCTGACTCTTCTCCTGAGGACTTCTCTTGAAGGGTGAACAGGATGAAATAAGATGAAATATTTGGAAATGAAGCTCTTAAGCTTTCGGAGGTAAAGTGTCGGAGGCCCGTCACAGCGTGCTCTGGCCCTTTAAGTGTTCCAGCCACACACTGCAGCAGATCCTCCGCAGCTGTGGGTCCACCTGACACCCAGCGCAGCGGACCAGAGGCGGACAGACAGCCGGCTTCACGTCACCGCAGACCGCGTCCTGGAGGGGCATGGGGGGCACCTCGCCCGCTAGCTAACCCGAAGACATTTCCTCGAAGCGGAAGGCTCACGGTTCCCCATCATGGTGTCGTGGATCATTTCGAGGATAGTCGTGTGAGTATGCGGGGCTGGGCTGCATCTGCCGTCGTGTTTGAACGGCTCCGTGCATCAGCTGTCTGGATGCTGAGCGCCGCACCGCCACGACTAGCTAGCCCGGGCTCCATGCCCTGTCCCCGGGTAGTTGAAGTGTTAGATAGTCGTGAACCACACGAACCGTCCTGGCCGTTGCTTCGTGTCTTTTAACGGCCACGACGATGCGGCACAGTCCGCTCCCTGGCGCTTGCTAGCTGCTGGCGGCTAACGTATGCTGGCTACAGCGCCTGTGCCCACCTGGCAGGGAAACGTGTTGTTGGCTGGACGCTTTAACTACAGTGAAAGCTACTTCATTCATATTCCAGCCTCGCTCCAAACGGCCTGCAAGCTGCCTGCCAGGGCTTTTCAAAACACCCCGGCCTGAGCGATGCTGCTGTGCTGACTGAGCATCCCACCATCTGCTTACATGATGGCAGCAGCCCGGTCAGGGACGTCCATCCATCCATCCACCTCATGGCTGTTCTGGGTCTTTTAATATACAGTCTAAGGTCTGGGCCCATGTTCTGTGGATGACTTGTGTGTATTTATCTACTAACCAGAAGTACAAACTTTATACATCGACTCCTTTTTGTGTTCAGATGAGCAGTATCAACAGTCTCAGGCCTCAGCTTGCACCTGAACACACCACATCTTCAGTGTGTGTGGATGACTCAACTAAAGCCATCATCCTGATCACTGCTTTAATCCTGGATCTGAGTTTTTAAACAGGACATCCTGTGGCGTGACCATCAGGTGTACCTGTTTGACACAGACGCTGTCAGGTTTTTGCGTTAAACCAGATGAAACTGTTTCCGCTGTTTGAACAACTGATTACATGAACATGAGCTGAAAAGGTTGGGAACCAATGATCTATTGGGCGCTTGGCGAGCAATAATCCAAAACATGTTAACTACCTGGTTCTGTCAATCCTCCTGATTGCAAAATGATTCAAAGTTCGCATGATCACTCCCAGGTTTTGTCATGGTTTCGATTTGTGTCGACAAATTTTCCTTCAGTTCAATGTCGATACTATGTCAACACAGTCCAGGCTTGAGTTTTAAAACATCAGCTCCCAGCTGGGAGAGAAGTTGAAGATTTGGTGGTATTATATAAAGAAATCGTGAATATCTTTTAAATGAGATGATAAGAAAATGTGGATGACTTGCATATATTTACTTACAAGTATACAACTTATCACATCGATCTCTTTTTTGTGTATAACTGTGACGAGCAGTATTAGGCCTCGGCTTCCACCTGAACACACCACATCCTCCGGAGTGGGGATGACTCAACGAAAGCCGTCATCCCCATCACTTATGAGGCTGCTTTAATCCTGACATTTTTAAGCAGGACATATGACCACTGGGTGAAACTGTTTGACACCAACACTGTCAGATTCAAGTGTTTCATAATGATACATAGCTGTGGTTGTTGCTTTGAAAAGGCCCAGTTGTGTAGTAATGCCACTGTTGTTTTTATTCCTATGAATATTCTGCCTGTTCAGATTACATAAGAAGAAGATAACGTCGGCAAAATGTTACTTTTAATGGCTTCCAGCTGGCTCTTGCACTTCACTGCTTCTCAGGTTGTCATGCGTCAATAGGGAGACAAACAGTGTGACTGGATATGCATCGTAATGGTTTCGCACATCTAACACACGAGATCAGTCATTTTTCACCCCTTTATTCTGCTTTAAACATGCAGCTACTTGAGTCTAAGCAAGAGGAGAGGCAGCCCTTAAACCCAAAGAAGTGAACCTGAGATGGGGACACAAAGAGACACAGGGTGTCTGCTGAGGGAGTCAACTGGCCTGGAGGCCTGCTTTGAATCCCCTCAGCTTACTGTACAAAGCCGAGAGGCACTGCACACATGACTGAGCAGCTCAGATAAATACTGGGACAGAGGAACGACTTAAATGCTGAGATATGCTACGGTAGATATGCTCCGAGCCAGGAGCACAAGCTTCACTAGGAGACTTTGTTTGATACATTTTAAAGTGTTTGAAGTCACTGGATTAAACCGCAGCATACAGACAAACATGTGACTTTCTGAACTGTATTCTCCCTGCCGTCCCCTCACTCAGCCACATCAGCACAAATCAACACAGTGGCACAGGATGCGACCAAAGGCACATCAGAAACTCCGCTCCGTGAGCACGAGGACACGCACATGTTGACCCACCCCTGGCAGACTTTAGTGTGTTTTTCCGCTCTATCTTCCGTCTGCCGTCTTCCTGACTCTGTGATTATCAGGCCGGTGTGTTTGGACAAGGCCCTGCCCATCACCTCTCTATTGTGATCGTCATCATTCAGATCAAGCTATGTAGAAACTGACTGTTAAAGTATAAGTAGCCCAGTACAGAAAGCCACTTGTATTTACATAAGCTATGAGTAAACATAGCTAACCTGCTTTTTTAAGGAGTAACGTGTTCTGTGAGGTGTCAGCATCTACACCCAGAGGCTGTGTTCTCAAACTGAATCACTCCTCTGAGCCAGTCTCTCTCTGCTCTTTTCAGCCTTGCCTTTGGGACGCTCTACCCAGCATACTCCTCATACAAGGCTGTCAAAACGAAGAATGTGAAGGAATATGTGAGTATCACCAAAGCAGACCATTCTTCTGACCCCTGCCTGCTCTATTTGACTTTGGGATATTTGGTCCTGGGCTGCTCTCAGCTATATTTACATCAATGTTTACAGATGTAAATGTGTGTTGTGAAAGTTATACAAATGCCAAATGTAGAATTTTTCAGGTCAGACAAACCCATGACATTGTTTTGTCAGAGGACACAGATTCATTATCTGGTGTAATTTCAGTTTTTTCGATCACTCTCACTTTTAGACTGACTTCTGAATGATCTAGATCTGAAAGACAAGGTCATAAGCATGGCAGGGCAGTAAATGTGGGACACACCCACCAAATCATGGAAAGGGGGATGCTATGGCACCAGAATGACACTGAAAAATGCTATATAAGTCCTGCATATCTCTGTCAATCCTAATTCATTAATTCTACATGGACATGGCATTGTTTTAAAAAGAGACTGTAGTGTGTGGGTTTTCTTTTGAAACAGTCCAAAACCAATAATGTAGTGGGCACTTGGCCAGAGGCAAACTCCCAAAACATGTTAACTGCCTGAAGTTATCCACCCGCCGGTGCAAAATTATTCATCTTACAAATTCCCCAAATTTCTCTTGGTTCAATGTTATGACTCAACACTTGAATTTTAAAACATCAGCTCCGAGCTGATGGAGTTAAAAAAGAGAAAGACTGTTAATAAAAATGGGGTCCTCCCTGTTTACCTCATCACTACATGGGATGAGAGAAAGGGGATCTGGGAGGAGGCGGAGGACATGGCAGCATTCTGGGCCTCCGCCTAGATCTGTGCTGGAGAACTGTCTCCTCCTGGTTGGTTTCTATGGTAACCTCCCCTCTCAGTTGCTGCTCAAGCAGACGGCCACGGAAGGAGGGATGGGGTTAGCAAGGAGAGAGGAGGACGCCATTTTTAGAACCAATGTTTTCATTCCCGTCTCCTCATGTTTGACCTGTTTCTAATGATTGAAGTGATTCAGCACTGTGTGTTTATACGGCTGCGTGCCTGTTGATGCCTCTAAACACACATTACTGTCCAGTCTTGAATTGTGTAACATTTGATGAAGCTATATGCTAATTATTGCTGTGCATTTCCTTTATATCTCAAGCTAATTTGCCCTTTGGTGCCTAGGTTACTGCATATTTAGTCGATGCCCCACATTTCCTTTGTCTCCAGAGATTAACCATGCTCACTGATGTGATGTGATATGACTGGAGCATATGTTGGGTTTCTGTGTCTGTGTGTAGCTTCTGTTTATCGCCACGTGTCGCTGCACATGTGCACTGGATGCTGTGGGTTTTTATGTGCTCTTTTTGTTATGTTCTCACCCCTCACCAATCTATGTGTGTGTGTGTGTCTCCAGGTGAAGTGGATGATGTACTGGATAGTGTTTGCCTTGTTCACCACAGCAGAGACAGCCACAGACCTGCTCCTATCATGGTGAGTCGGGAGCTGCTCATGATCGTTACCCTCACGCCCAACTAGCTTGTCATAAATAAACAGCTTATGTAACTTCAATGCGTTCATGTCTGCTTGATATTTTTAGTACAAGTTGCTCTAATTAAAGTATCTTTTTTCACTTTCACGCATTATATAATGAAACTCTTTCCTGTCATTGCTGATCGTTTATAACTCTGTTTCATTGCCCAGGTTTCCATTTTACTTTGAGCTAAAGATCGCCTTTGTAATCTGGCTCCTGTCTCCATACACCAAAGGCTCCAGTGTCCTCTATCGCAAGTTTGTCCACCCAACCCTGTCCAACAAAGAGAAGGTGGGAACATGACCTTTTTAAGTCCCTTTCCAAGATCTTAACTGGTATTCACTCTGGATGTACATTGTGAATTTTTTTCCAACAGACAACCAACTGCTTGTCAACTGATTATTTACCGCAGATGAAAATGTTATGTAATGGAAGAGTATCTGAGTCATTACCTAGGCAATGTCTTTTTACTAAGGCAAATGTGCAAATAGCAGCATGAACAGGAGAAAATGAAGATTCACTCATCACACACCTGCAGCGCTGTTGTGCTCTCTGTCATACACACACACACACACACACACACAGCCGCTTCGGTGTCCCAGGCTTTAGTGTCGTAGGCAGGCAGACGTCGACACAACTTACCGCTTTAGCTGTGCACCTTCCTTCAGCCACGATAGGCACAGAGTCACTGCGATGTGCACGGGAGCAAACTGCGTACATGTTCAGTGGGCTGTCACAATAATGAACCCACAATAAACAGGCCAAGCCGACTCAGTCCTCAGCAGACTCAGCCTTTCTACTGGGTTTTATTCAGAAATTGTAACATGTCCACATGCTGTGGGGTCAATCTGGTGTAGAGCCTATTAACTGTGAGATCCACAGCAGAGAATACCTGCTCAGATTTTACAGAAGTGCAAAGATTTTGAACCAATAATATAAATCCATCAAAAATATTCTTGTCATTTAACTTGGTTAAATGGTTAAGGATGAAAATCCCTGTTGTGCACGATGAAAGACTCAGATGTTTCTTTTCTCATTGCACTGATTGCTCTCTCTTCCTCCTTCACTGTCCTCTTGTGCTATAGGAGATTGATGAGTACATAGCACAGGCCAAAGACAGGAGTTATGAGACCATGATGAGGTTTGGAAAACGGGGTCTCAACCTGGCTGCTAATGCTGCCGTCACTGCAGCTACCAAGGTGAGCTGTGTGACCTGGTCACTGAATGCCATCAAATTCAGTAATGTTTGATGTTCACATGAATGTTTTGGCTGTTTTAAAGTCTTCACTGTAGATGGTGTATTAAGATCTTCTTGACATGCTGTTTTTCAAATGATTGAATAATCCTTTTGTCCAAAACATGTCCAAAACTAGCCGTAAAATATCCATCAAAAAAGGCTTTAAATGTTTTCTTCTGTCTTAAATTATTTTTGTAAGTGGATGTATAGATGACTGCTCCAAATCTAACTTGCCTGTGTTTGTTTTTGCTACAATGCTCAGGGGCAGGGTGTGCTGTCAGACAAGCTGAGGAGTTTCAGCATGCAGGACCTGACTCTCATCAATGCTGAAGATGATCTGGCTCTGCACACATCAGATGCCCGCATGAGACGGGACACCATGGACGAGATGAGCTCAGGGGCCAGCACGCTGCCCCGGGCCAAGAGCACTGCGGCACGGCAGAGTAAGGCTGCATAATGTGCACATCCCACACATCTGCATTATTACATACATAGTTTGTTGATTGGAGTCGGGAGTGTCACCCAAAGAACTTCCTTTATTTAGCTTTCATCAGAGAAGGACTGGGGCATGTCGAGCCCAGTGGAGTCATGTGATGGTGGATGGGAGGGAAGGGCAGGAGATGTGGGGAACAACACAAAGAGGGGAGGGGGGCAGAGCATGTGATTCCAGTGGGAGGAGAGCCCTGGAAGGAGCACCCTCTCTCACTGGTGGCTGGCTGCCTGTGCGGACCTGACGAGCTGTGAACGGAATACAGACACAGTGAAACAATGAACGCAAAGAGGGCAAAGAAGGCATTTTAAATTTATACTGGCAACAGATCCATGTGCAAGTTCAAAAACCAGGTGTACAGAGAAATGGAGCACATCTAGAATAGCCCTCAGTGAAGTGCATACCTCTGCCAAGGCCCAACAGACCCCATATGAAAATATATATTAAATCAAGGTCCAAAAATTCAACAAAAATGTCAAAAAAAATGTTGACGATGGATGTTGCTGAATAATTTGTCAGAGCTAATGTACGACTGCCGAACTTGGTGCAATAGGGTTTATTGTGAATTGTTGCTGCGTCACCAGAGTTTCTTTGGAAAAGGAGGTGCTGTCTGCTGCTCACGTAGCATTAGGTGCTATAATGGTAGTTGGGCAGAGAACAGTCCTCTTTGGTTTAACTGTGATTATAGAACCAACATCAAACTTCAACACTGGTGGAATCAAAAAGTGTGTTTTGAAATCTGGCCACTGGATGGTGTGAGAGGCTGTGACTGCACTGCAAATGTGGCCTTTTTAACAGCTGCTTCCGCTGTCTTCAATAAATCTTGTTGAGATGTTAATGCATTGTTGATTTTAATGTTGTTTAAAAAAAAAACAATCCTATCGGTCCAGAGGCAATAAAATGCAGGTGAAGGCTGGTGACAGAGTTAGGTTTGGACCCTGTCGTGTATCTGATGAATCATCTGGGGTGCGCTCAAAAAGCTTAGCTAAATAAAATGACCTGGAAGAATTTTAGCGGCCGCCATAATTAGAGTTGTTGGAGTTGTCTAAAATATTTAGGAAAGGAGCATTAATGCTTTCTAACTCTGGACCATCCTTCATGAAAGGAAAGGAGAAAATGCATCTTTGTGGCAGCAACATTTAATGCAACGCTACCTGGACAGACCCACATTAAATCTAAAAAAACACAGAGCAGCTATTTAATCATTGTGACATGATCCAGAACCGATGCAATTCCTTACATTTTTCTGAGCTCCCGGTGTCTTCTGTCACAACAACAAGCATATTGAACTTATAGTTCACAATATACAACTACAAATTTAAAGGTCATTTCAATACCTGATTGTAGAGCACACACACAAAATAAATCTCCACTTATATAAGGTTTAATTTATACATATTCCTCACAACATTGTATTATTTCAGTCCTGTTTTGTGTTATTTTCCTTTTTAATCAAATCTGTTTTGTTGTTTCTTCCTATTATTAACTGAAGGTTAAATGTTCCCTCCATATAAATTGAAAACCTCTTTTCTCAGGATGTGTCATTCTATTTTTGACAGGAAACTTTACTATAACTGTCAGAGCACAGAGTACATACAGTCTGTCTGTGTATTTTCCGTTATAAATACAATTGTTGTTTTAAAAAAAACCGCTGATTGAATGTGGAGTTGGATTTTCTCTGCACCCTGGTTCTCCTTTCCTAACTCCTCACGACTTCTCCATCACTCTTTCGTGACCAGATGAAAAATGTCACAAGCTCAAGGAATAGGGGTTAGAAAAGGAGATTATTGGACTTTCCAACTGCAGCCCTGGCTTTGGTTTCACTCATTTGTCTTTACACCTGTCTGATCCATGAACTCTAACTGAGCGACCACCTTATTTTTTTCTCCCCCCCCTGCAGCTCGCTCTTTGGCAGCCACGTCTCTTGCTGATGACACGTTATCCCAACACAGCTCTGACCAATCAGACACAAGGACTGAGCACTCTGATGAAGATGTGGGAGACAAAGCCCTGAAACGAGGGACCAGCGTCAAGGCGACCAAGAAACCTGCTGCTGCTAAGACAGAGGTAGAGCCAGTAAACACACACACACAAAGAAAGGCATGCGTCTCAAGAGCATATGCATGATTCCATTCTTATCATGTAGATGGTACAATAGATCATCGTCACAGTTATTATATTATTTTCTTTTTGCCCAAATTCTCTTAAGTAACTTTGTCACATTTTTGTAACTATATTCATTCAATTTCTAATAAGAGGGAGACATTTTCTTTCTTTATTTTGATAAAGTGAAAACATACAGCCTCCATTTATTACACACTGACTGTCCCACTTTTCCTTTTTTTAATTTCATATGAACGTCCATCCAATTGAATAATTGTCTGAGCCTCTGACCTCTTGTGAGCAGATCTCACCTCCCCACTCTATATGCAAATAATCACGACTGTCATTTGTGTTCGTGGAGACCAAATGATGTTGTTTTTACTTTTAATTTATTGATGTGTCCCATGACAATGTTTGTGTGTGTGTCGGTATGAGCGAGATGTGAGCAGGATGAGTGGATGAATGAATGCCCAGCTTTAATATGAAAAAAGATTAACCAATTAAGAAAGGTATCAATCATTATGTGGTGATCAGTGTAAATATTATGGCCATAAACAAATCAAGGCATTGGCACTGAGAAGCGTTGCATTGTGATGTGTCATGTGGCCCGGGACACATTCAGACCCCAACTTAACTCTGGCCATTTGTGATTGGATCACTCAGGATGGATGATAATACCAGGTCTGAATGGGGCTCTAGTCCTTGCGTCTCTGCAGGAATTTCCCTGAGTGGATTTTACACAGCAGTTCTTCTTAGATCCTTCCACTCATCTTGATATAGATTTTCAGCTAGAGGGGAACGTTTTTTATTTATACATTCTTGTCATAGTTTCATGTTGGGCAAAAAGAGTAACTCTTTGTTTTCTTGACTGTTTAATCACTTTTTAGATGCAACATTAGAATACTCCAAAACTTGCTCAGTGTGATACAGTGAAGACTACTAGCGATGCCATCATGCTGAGATCTATGCGGCTACAACAGACTGACATTTTGACCAAATGATGGCGCTGGAGAGAAAGTTTATATTTTCATTCTGAAAGGAACATGAAGTTTTTTGGCAGTTCATCCACAAATATCAATCATATTGTAAAACGTATCAAACATCCCTTGTTCAATCATCTCTATAGCTCTTCTCCACTTTACTATATCACTGTTGTTTCTGTTCATTTCCTTGTGTCGTCAGATTAATTAGTCTTTACTTTCTTCTCCCTCCTGTCGTTCCCCTCCCTCTGCAAGACTCAAAGTAAGATGGTGAAGAAACCGACAAAGAAAAAGACCACAACCAATATTGCAGAGACGCCACCATGAGGCCTGCTGTGCATATCCAGCGGCCTACACTCTCCACCCACAGCCTGCAGGCTCTGTTTTCGTCTCCACACGAACACATACCCACCATATGTATGTATAATATCAATCAACAAAATTGCGTTGCTCTTGCTGGTTTTTAGAGCAAAATACAGATTTAGTTTTTATCCATATGTGGCCATCTTTATGTGGGAATGGTTCTTTTACTGGGTTGTTGCATTTTTTCTCACTCAGATTTACCAGTCGGAAATTTCTCAGACATATTTTTCTTTTTTTCTTTTTGGAGATCATTAGTAAATCTAATCATCAAGGCTAACGTTTCCCTTTTTAACCTGTAGGCATCTATTTTCATCCCTGTAATAATTGACAATATCAGCTGGCCACTTGCAGTTTTTCAGTCTCTTTTTCATGTTACTGGTTCATGTTGTGTGCCGACATTCTGGATTGAAGCTGTCTTTTGTTGAAGCATGTCAAGTAAAATGTTACGTTCTTCACTCCTTCTTCCCTTGTTTTGGTTTGGGTCTCCTCTGTGACCTCTGGTAACTGATTCCAGTTGAGGAGCAAATTAACAAATGTTGACCACACCATGAAGGTAGAAATCCACAGAAACATCTTGTCGTTTAACCAGGTTTGATTTTAAGACCCTGAATTGACCAATGGTTGAAGACATCCTTATTATTAATACTGTCTGAGACCTTATCATTCACACTTTTGACTATCGCTTAGGTCATAGTAGCTCCGGATCAGCAACTGCCATGTCCTATCATGAAATAGTCTAGTTATACAGGATTATTTATGATCAAACGCGTCTTGGCTTTCTCTTTTTAATTTTTTTTTTAGCAGTTTTAATTTGAACATTTTTTACCTTAGGCCTGACATCTTGTGTTAGCATTTTAAGTTCAGTAAACCTCTGAGTGAGCTCTGTTATGTTCACGTCTCACTTGTGTGTCAACTTTCTTCCTCACTGCTGATGGCTTTCATGTCATGCTCAGTGCTGGTCATGGGAGTAGTTTGTTTAGTGTTGGCTTAGTTATCCTTCATCTAGACATCCAACTCTTGGGTTGTATTCACTCATGATCATTTATTTGTTATACTTCTGTTCTATCCACTTCTGTGTATCGGGTAGTATCGGCAATGGATATAATAAGCTGTGCATATTCGGGCTTCTTGTGGTGATGCTTTAACTGAGTGATGATGGCGCTCTCTCCCGAGTTGTCGGTGTTTGCGAGGTAACATATCTGCTCTCCGTGGCGTCTCTAATATTGTTGTGTGGTGACACTTTACCTCATATAAAAGCAGGATAAAGCAAAGCATTATAGAGATAATTCAAACAAAAGCAACATCTAGAGACTTTAAGAATGATTTTCTTCTTCCCATGCTGTTTCAGATGTGTGTGTGTGTGTGAGTTTCTGAACACCATGAACTTTAGTTCTGTTATGAGCTCTTTCGGTCACCAGCCTCTACATTGACCTTGGTTTCTTGTCAGTGCTCTGGAATACAAGATTTAAAAAGCATGAGACCACCACTTCTGCACTTGTTACTGCTGTCTGCAGGGGGACTCTAGTAAGAACCAATAGGGGGAGACAAACTTCAAGTCAACTCTTGACTAAGTTACTTAACAAGATGTAAACACAATGTAAATAGGAAACGTAACTGTATATAGAGTCAGAGCTTGCTTGCCTTATGCGGGCTGACATCCATTTAATTTCTTCATATTTTGTGGGCTCTTGTTTAAAATTCTTAGTCTTAACAAATCGTATGTTCTGACACAAGAGAAAACTCGTAAACATCTGGTGTTGGGTGTGATTGTTTCTCTTTTGTGTTTTTAAAATAAAGAAGTTCACTTTTCTTTTCACATGAAAGCACATGAACTCTTCTCCATCACAAAGTAGAGAATCTCCAGACTGAGTGTAAACTAAGGGTTGGTATGTTAACGTATTTTAAGGCCATAAGTTCTTAATTAAAATGTTGAAGCTCAATCAAAAGGAGTCTTTGCATTATGTCTTATCAAGATACCACTTCACATTTTTATCCCGTGTCACATTTGAATATTTATTGTTGATTTTTTTTTTTTTAATTTAAAATCAGTATTGTATACAGGGACTTTCATATATTGTTTGTGCCAATTCTCAAAGCTCCATGTCAAAAAGGACAACGGTATGTGTGCTGGGACAAGGGTTTAACAAGGTCATGTATCAGTACTAAAACTACTAATAAAGGAAATTAAATCTGTGTTATTGCCTGGTGCATAGTTTATCTTCTGGAGGTTCACACTTTATCTTCGTTTCGTTCACTGGTGGATTCTGTTCTTTGTGTATTAACGCAGCATTTCTCTTTGTCCTCACATACTGATGCTTCCTGTTTATGTCCACACACAGCTAAAGAGCTTCTTAGAGCTTAACCAGACTGTCACAGTTTGAGGATCATCAGCAAAAAAAAGCACACACAGCCTCAATGTTAATGGTTTTAGTCAAGGCTGCTCAGAACAGAGCAGATAACAAAACACTATTGAGTGCACACATGTATATTAGATTAGATTCAACTTTATTGTCATTGCACATGTCACAAGTACAAAGCAACGAAATGCAGTTAATATATGACATACTTTTCAGTAGACTGACATTTCTGTATTAAAAATCTTTGTTTTATTGGTCTTATGTAATATTCTCTCAAATATGTTGGACTTTTTTCATTTTTTTTATATTAACATAACAACAATTAAACAAAACAACAACAACACTCAGTACAACATTGGTCTAGACAGTCTATACATACTTTTTAAGGTATTAGAGATTATAGGGTTATTTTTACAATGGCTCCTGGCTGACTTTAAGTCCTTGAAGGCCAAAAGGCCTAACAGGGAGCCTGAGGTCTGTGACTTTTCTAAACTCAGCAAATCAGAAGTATGTTCCTCCTTGACCCATTATGCTATACATCTTAAATGGGATGCCAGCTGATACCATCTGATGTTGGGAAGATCTAGACCACCCTTCCAACTGGGAAGTTGTAGTTTTGCTACTTTTAGTCTGGGCTTTCTCTTGTTCCAAATCAATCAATCAAATTTATTTATATAGCACGGTATCACAACAAACAGTTTTCTCAGGGTGCTGCACAAAAGTCCAAGATCTTAAGAAACACAAAATCCAACTAGTTCCACACCGAGCAAGCATGAGCAACAGTGGGGAGGAAAAACTCCCAGGTGGAAGAAACCTCCGGCAGAACCGGGCTCGGTGTGGACGGCCTCTGCCAGGACCGGTTGGGGTGATGGATAAAGAACAAGTAATATAGGGGAACAAAAGAAAATAGGGGTGGGGTGAGTCACAGTGTCTGGTCGAGTGCTTGAATCCAGCCCGGGAATCTCCACATGGACGTTAGCATGGTCTTCCAAGGGTGCGGTGGTCCCCCGGGCACTCCAAGGTGCCCTTGAGCAAGGCACTGAACCCCCCAATTGCTCCCCGGGCGCCTTCATGGCTGCCCACTGTTCCGCCATGTGTTCCGCCGTGTGTTCCCTGTTCACACGGATGGGTTAAATACAGAGGTGCGGTGGTCCCCCCGGACACTCCTGCCTCCCTCATGGTCCAACATGCGCAGTAGTAGGACCCATGGCTCCAAAGGTGGGAAGTCCTCAGGTGAGAGTGCTGGTGGCTGCGTGACCCTCCATGTCAGCCCTGCGACAGACCTGCGACCTCACTATGTCCATCCCTCATCAGGACCCGAGCCAGGACGGGCTCCGGAGAGCCGCACGGTGAGGACCAAGGAGGGAAGGAGAAGACCCAAGGAGTTAGAGATATGTAATAAGATATAACAAAATAGACCAGGCAGAGGGTGAAGAAGAGAGAATAAGATAGAAGGTGCTGGTTTCTGGTGCTTGATGGGTGATCCCCCAGCAGTGTAGGTCTAAAGCAGCATAGCTATGGATGACTATGGTTCAGGGTTGAGCTAAAAGCTTTATCAAAAAGGAAGGTTTTAAGTCTAGCCTTACATGTAGAGACCGTGTCTGTCAAATGAAGTCACTCAGCCAGCCATTAAGCAGCTTCAATACCTTGCCTGACAAGAGTAATGGGGTCATCTGTAGGGGGTATAATAATCTTGGCAAAATATTCATTTTAATGATAGAAACTCTACCAAGCAATGACAAGGGGAGTAGAGCCCATCTGTCCAGGTCCTTCCTTATAGGAGGGGGTTAAATTAGCCTTAAACATTCCCTGAAACAAAGGTGTGATATGAATACCCAAGTAGACAAAACCTTTTATGGACCATTTAAATGGGAATGAGGGTAGTGTGTCAATTATATCTCTAAGGTTTTCCCATTGGCATAGCAGTATTTAAATATAAAGTATTTAAATATAAAGGGCCTTTTCTGGGGTAAAAAAAACTACAATTCATACAATTTAGATGAAACGAACTAGTGAAAACATCATGAGGATTATTCTACATGAAATTTCTGCCAATAGATCCCTTTCACCTAAATCTTACACACTGGACCTTTCAAATCAATCAATCAATCAATCAATCAATCAATCAATCAATCAATTAGTTAATCCATCAATCGCAGGGATCTGACAAAATTGTATCGGGCTCCTCTCCCCTAAAATGGACTCAAGATTTTGGAGAAAATTCTTAACAATGGCAGAGTTGCATTTTTTTGTTATTTCTGCTCTATTATGTTTCTCTGAACAGCTTTCTAGCATTTTGGACCAAACACTTAAAAATGTTTCTTTTATTTCTCTTCTGGCTGGTTGACTTTGAATTCTGAGATGTTTGGGCAATTCTTTCTTTGCCTTGATCAAATGTTTTTTAAATGAGAAAGATTCTTTTTCTTCTGCCAGTTTCATAAGAGCCGTCTTTAATCCTTTTATATTAACACTTAATATATTTTTATCTTTGTCTGGAACCATGGAATGGAATTGTTTTTCATTAATTTCTTTCAACCTTTCCCATAGTTGATTACGGGTCAGCTGGATGGGAAATTTACAGTTTTTTGTAAATTTATGAAGAATATCATAATCTATCAAATTAATTGATACAATTGGTCCCCAAAACTCTGTGAACAAAAGCGTTGTAGGTATTTTAAATCTACTGTACCATTGCTTTGCTTTTACTAAAAGCTGAAACATGCAAGGATCTTTAATATCCTTTTCTCTCTTCATACATGGGCTGTTGGATGAATACATAACAATATTTCCTCCTTTAGGTATTTTGCTCTGAAATTTTTGCTCTAGATACTCATCAATTTGTTTGATTAAAATCTCCTCTGTGTGAATTGTTGATTCAGAGGAGTTTTTCTCAGGATAATGTGGCTTAGGAACAAAAAAGGTTTCTTTATATCCTTCTCCAAAAATACTACAAAATAAATGTTGATGATTTTTTTTTTCTTTACATTCGTTATTGTAATCCTTTGTGAAATCCTGCCACTGTGTATGAGTCATACTTACATTTTCCCTTTGTTGAAAATAATTTTGGAAATTTAAATTCATTTTTAAATTGAAAGATTGTATATCAAAGTGGGGAGCATCTTGTTGATGGTCCCCATCCCTGGAAAAAAAAAAGTTGGGGTTAATTAAATCCACAGGTAAAAATCATTTGTTAAACATTAATTTAGAACATAGAACTAGATGAAGAATATCCCTTGTATGTTCTACCGCCCTGATTAAGATGCCTAACACCAGATGATGTTGGGGACCATCAGAAGATGTTATGGGACATAACCACTTGTGAACCTTATTGTCATCAGTCTTTCAATCACAAGACACCCTCTTCTAAGGCTTTTAATCACAACAGTGTTCCAGGCCGAACCTGAGGGTACGCTGAGGCTAAAGGTGAATCTGACTGGCTGCTGGCCTGAATGACAGTACCATGAAAGTCATGTGGCCCGCTCAGTAGATAAGACATCATTTCCTCTACACCTTTTTAAACTGAACACCTACTGTCACAGGCAACCGAGTCAAAAGCTGCCCCAGTTTAGAACAGGACAAGATGGAGAATATCCCTTGTTTATTCTACTCTGTTTTATATCCAGTCTATGGTTTTACCACATAGGTCGCTCTAAGCAGGAAGCTGATCCTGCTTGTATCCATTTCCTGCAGGTCCTTCCAGCTGATCTGCCTTTTCTCTATGCCCTCCCATTTCAAATATTATATTATTTAATTATCCATCCATTGTCAGCCAATGCATAACTTAAATTAAATATGAATGCACTTGGAGGTGTGTTGGATTACATCTTATTGAAACAACATTAACTTCCTCAAAGACACTGTGGCACAGCTGTTGTTATGAATCACACTGGATTGTTGACCTGTTTCTAATAAACTGGTGACTGCTTGTAAAATGAATGCTATGTCTATTCAATGCGTCTTCACAAATAATCAGCATTTAGACACTGCTTGTTACCTTATCCCTCTTCTTCGGCTCTCGAGGGTGAGAATCAAAAGGTGGTCGTCTGGATCTTTTGGGGTCTTAATGGAGTAGTTGAGGATGTGAGGCTGTCCGGGGAAGGAGTCAGTGAAACTGCACAGAAATATTTATCAAATATTAACATGTGTGGTGTTGTATTAATGTTAGTTGACATATTTCACAGTGCATGTTTGTGACAACCTGAATGAAGACTTATCCAAGTCAGTGAAAGAAATAACGAGAATGTATTAATCAAAATTTTGTTCAGCTTCGACAAGTATAACAGAATTTTGTTAGATGAAGTGTGTTAAAAATAATACATATCATTATTATTACCAGTAAATACATTATTCAAAATGACACGATAGTTTTGGATTTGCTTAAAACCATTTTTCCACATTTTTTTTATTCCCATTTTTTATGGGAGCAGCAGACGTTCACTCACGTACCTTTGGGGTAAGAGCAGTGGCTTCAACGAGATGGTCGATGACATTTCTTCTCCCCTCTCTGGAACTTGTTGTCTGCTACTGTCTGTCTTAGTGAGGGGAACAAAAGTATAAGGCAGCACCAATTAAAATAAGTTTCGTTTTTGGAGAAAGGAAAATAAGTTTCGTTTTTGGAGGCAGCACCAAGGAAAAAAAGTTTTGTTTTTGGTGCCGTCTTCAGGTAGTTCAATCATCACTATACCTCTTCTCCACTTTACTATATCACTGTTGTTTCTGTTCATTTCCTTCTGTCGTCAGATTAATTAGTCTTTACTTTCTTCTCCCTCCTGTCGTCCCCCCCCCTTTCGATTTGTTGACACTGAAGGCAGCACCAAGGAAAATAAGTTTCGTTTTTGGAGGCAGCACCAAGGAAAATAAGTTTGGTAAAATAAGTGTTGATTTTGGTGCTGTCTTCAGGTGGTGTCAACTAAACAAAACACCACAGAGTTGTCTGACAGAACTTTCTTTTGGTAGGCCCTGGGACAATTTCCATAGATTCTTAAAAAATAGATTAGTTTGAACTTTTCTTATCTTTGATCTACTCTTATTTTTCCTCTATAGCATTTCCATCATCTGGACATGGAGGCAAATGGTAATTGGTTAAAATTAAAGATTAAGTAAATTAAAGACACACACACACACATATACATATATATGTTTATGAACACTAGGGCTAATGACTTTAACAAACGCTAACTGGAGTCAGGAGTTATAAAACCAGTCAGAGTCCAGCCAATGAAACAAGGCTGGAGGTATGTCTTAGATCCACTGTGATGTGAAGCATTTGCTGTGAACCACATCTCAAAAAAGTCTTAATTAAAATGATGCACAATGAATAATTGGAACCGTTAACTCCAAGGTTTCGGTTTGAAGGATTGATGGATGGGTTGGTCTGACATGTGACTGGTTTAACTCGCTAACAAGAGTGACCATTCTCTTGTGTAAACTGCCACCTTGTGGATCAGTCTCTCCACACAATGAGCTGCCCTTCAGGGGCTGGCTGCTCCACCAGGTGGGAGCAAAGACAAGCGAGAGCTCAACGACTCCGGAGCTGCTTTCACTTGCTCCCTTGCATTAACTCTCAGACTACAATATGGTATAGAAATACATCATTTGACCACATAAGAGTGAAAGTTTCATGCGAAATAAGGCAAAATGCAAGTTGCCATGTTCACCATGCAGAACAGATGTACCGCAAGCCCTGAGCACATGGTGGCGCTGTCTACCCAACAAAGACAGACAGAGAAGAGTGGATGTTGAGTTATCATCTGTGTGTGGTGACAAATGTTTGAGCGGAAGGGGGCAGCCACACCCAGCGGACGAGTGTGGGTTTAAAATGAGACCTGTTCTGATTGACAGTAGACAAAAATCGACCAGAGGTTTGTAGGCTATTGATATATTTACTTTTAATAAGTATCCATTCATATTTATTTCTACGTACGAACGCAGTGAGAGTCGGTTTGACAACACACAGTTTATCCTCCAACGTGCTATCACAAGTACAATGTCTTTTAATCCAAACATGAACCAATGAACTGGCCTGTCAGAGGCTGCTCGGCCACATCTCCGCTGAGGTGTATGGAGGCTACTGTTCCCACTATGCTCTACCTTCTGAGATGTATAGTTTTCGACAGCTTATGTAACACATCAGCTAAACAGAGGAGACATTCCTGTGGGTGCGCATGTGCACACGTGGGTTTCAGGGTGTGCAATATCGGTGTTTTAGAGGGTTGAAGGTGTTGGCAGGGACAAGTCGCCAGGTCAGAATGCCACGACCTATCTTTGTGTGTGTGATGTGGAAGATGTCTGTGTTTGTGATGTGACGTGCATGAATTCCGGGTGTGCAGGTGTGCCTGTGGTTGCTGTAGCCAGGGTCAGTGTGTCACATCCTTTAGAGGGGTCTCCCTGAGAGGCGACCACTGGTTAACGGAGCTCGACAGGTGAGAAATGTGGTTGATGACTCAAACTGTAGAAATTGACAAGGCAATAATGGACATGTGATGCTGTCCTTATTTTCTTATACTGGGACTCATTATAGCTTGCTTATGTTGCCTTCTGTCTCTAAGAAGAGATCTGTACTTTATAGTCAAGTTTTAATGCTGATATGTTTGCTTTGTGTCTGATTTGTAGTTTTTCTTTTCATCTGTCATTCCTAGACAGCAAGAGTTTGTTGTTAAAGTGAGTCTCTCCACAATGTGGCCGACATGCACAGAACCAACCAACCATCCTCTCTGAACTAAGCACTGTTCCCACTTCCTTTGTGGGGCTTTTGTTTGCTTTCTCCCCGTTCCTTGTCTCTACTCTTGTTATTTCCTCTCATCTCTTGTATCTATTTCTATCTTCTTTGATTCTGTTTTTCCAGCACAGTGGAAGAAAGGATCGCAGGTATCCATAGCAACATGTTTGTGTGTGTGTTTTGCGAGTTGAGTGTGTGTGTGTGATATGTGTGTGTAGCCTCTTGTCCGAGACACAATGTGGTAATTACCCGAGCTTACCTCTGCGCTAATTAACCGTCGCCGTGGTAATTGGAAGGGTCAAGTGAGCAGGACGATTGGCTCACCTTCCTGCATCCTCCACCACCCTCCTCTACCATCCAGAGCTCCTTTTCTCCTCTGCTGACAACTTCGCTACTCCACCTTCACCCCTGTATTTCCCCCCTCCTCTTCCCCTCCTCTTCCATCACCTCCCCTCTTTTGCCATTTCTCTTTTTCACACCTTCCTCTCAGCCTCCTCGCACTCACTTTATTACAAAAAACCCCCAAAAACATTGCTCTCGTCTCTCTGTGAGTTTTCTTTATTTTGGTGTTGTTTTGGGAGGGAGCATAATCACAAGATCCTTGGCTACCAGCCCTTAAAAGCCCCCCACGCCTGCCCGCCTCCTCCTTCACTCGCTCCACCTGATTTGGCCGACTGACAGCTGGCTGCCAACCAGAGGTGGAGCTTTTGACCTTCACAGCCTCCAGGAGTCCACAGCAGTACATGATTGACTTACCTGGAAATGTTCACAGTCACCTAGAAGGTGTAGCTGGCGGTGAGTGTTTGCGCTCTTATTTTAAGGACATTATGTGCATGTTTCTGCCATCAAATTAAACAAACATTTAAACCATATTTTTTCAAGATAAATTTGATACTGGATGGACTTTGACATTTGTACATCCACCTTTACCTGCTGTAAAGCTTTATGATGCTTTACGCCCTCACTACCTGCTCAGCAACAAATAGCAGAGCAAAGATAGTGCTGTGTCCAGTGTTGTGTTATGAAGAAAAGGCCCAGACCCTGGATCTTTGGAGGCGATCTCCAATTACTCTGACAGAAAGATCCATATATCAAAATCCTCCAGTTAGTTGTTTACATAAATGAAGCCCCTACACAAATACAATAACAGAAATATGTTACCATACTACACAATAACCTTAAGCTAGTGAGCAAACTTTAAAATGTAATAACAGAGACGTTAAAAGGCGGTACAAGCACAATGTCAAGTACCTCTCCCATGGAGAACAACAACAAAAAAGGGAAAGTTGAAGCAACATTTGTCACAAATGTTCCACATGTTGACTTTAGAGGCTTCGACATGTCAGATAATCACTACTTACACAGGTTATGTGTAAATATAACATTAAGTAGTGCAAATGTTTATTGTCACACTATAAATGGCATTGTTACACAAGTAAACACATTGAAGCATTTAACAGCCGATGATGATCTCCTATGCCTTTAAGTTGAAAGAAAAGTGCTAGTTTATCGTAGACTTAAGTCATATGGATAAATAGGTTGCGAGGAAACAACTGTATTACCATTTAATTTAAATGAATCAACCAATGTATAACTTTGTTTTATAAACAGACTGCATACAAAAAGAACGTATTCCAGAGTTGCATCACACAGTTTACAATGAGTTGGAAATGTAGCTATATATTATATCTGTATGATTTATATTATATATATATAATATATATAATATAGCTACTCTAATGGATGCTTTTTATCTAGTGATTAGAGCTCTTTAAATTTTGCTGCAAATGCGGATGAAGAGGTGGAGGATTTTGTTTAAAAATGTCTTTAACTATGTTTAATGGCATATAGATAATTTAGGTTATCAAATCCTTCCTTTTTACTTGCATTTACTTGTTTCTACTACAAGTCCACTGTTTTTTTCTTCCACTGTTTGTATAGGTCACTCGTAATGGATCACAATTATTATTTGCTGTTTGTATTCATAACGTGATAAAACTTGAATTCCCTTCATCTATGAACATGATTTGCGCGGGAGTCGTGTCAGGTAGATTTTCATCGTCAATGATGGTGAAGGCAACAACTCCTGTTGCTTCACAACGTCATCAAACTGGGTCTTGACAATCAAAGTTACATATTGTAGGTTTCACATGTCGTCTCAATGTTCTGTGTTAGATTCACTATAGTGATATTTAGATACTTAAAGAGCAGGTTTTAGCTACTTTCCATTGAAAGTAGTTGTTTACAGCGGTTCCACAACAGTTTTGCACATTGACCACACACGGTCCAGACACAGAAGGTTTTGACCTAGTCCCTGAAACACAAATTTCACTGTGTGTATTTTTTTATGTATGTTTCTATTCTGAATGGACTCTCTATGTGTGTTCCCCTCTGGTAAAAAGCTGGAGGTTGTCAAGGTGTCTGCTACTTTCTACTCCCACTATCAGCCATTATTTCTACCCTATCCCCTCTATTGCTCCTTGGGGTTTCAAAGTCTCCTCATCTTTCTTGTTCTCCAGAATCATGAAAAGAAATCCATCTGCCCTTTAGGGGAAATAGTAAAAAATAGTCCTGCAGCTTAAATCAGACAGAAGAATGAATAGAGGTCCCTAGGAAAAAGGAAGAAGGTGGATAGAGGAAACTAAAGTGTTCAGTGCACGGAGCACCGAGGCGAAGAAGCATTGACACGTTTGGTGATGGAAAAAGAGTGAGCCGTCGACATTATATATGAATGGAGAGGGAGAAAGGAAGGTGGGCAACAGGAGTGATGGAAGTCAAAAGTGTGGCAGAAGAAAGGTCGGGGTACGGTGTGAGATGCAGATA